AGGAGGAGGAGGAGGAGGAGGAGGAGGAGGAGAAGGAGGCTTTGACTGTACTAAGCTCGTTGCAGGTAGCTTGAGCGCAGCGGCCAACAGGACTGGCACAGGCTGCACACGAGAAGCCCGAGAGCATGGACGCTGAGCTGCTTCCGCTCTCGTCCCGAAAACTGTCGGGAGAGAGGTATTGGCGCTGCGGGAGGGGAAGAGAGGAATCATATAAGAGAGAGGAGGAGTTGCAGCGCCGTGCGAAGAGAGACATCAGCGGGGCCCTGCTTCGTTGCCCATAGCAGGGCAGCCCTCGAGGCAGAGAGCAGTGCAAGGCTGGAAGAGGAGAGACCTGCCTAGGTGTGCCGTCCTAGTTTCGGTCGGCTGAAGGAGAGGGAAGAGCTGGACGGAGGGCCAAATTGGCCAGGCCGCCGTGCGGCTGTCCAAACCTCCAGGGGAGGAGAGCTGGACTGGAGGAAGAGCGGGGGAATCCATATGAGGCGGGGGGAGGAGGGGGGCCAGAATGGCATTGCCGTGCTGCAGGGCGGACGCTGCAGCTGAAAGGCCTGTACGGGCCGTCCGCGGCGGGGAGGTGGGTGTGCCTGGGCGCTAGCCGAGACCAGACAACAGAGACCCACCTCCGTGTGGCCCCTCACAGGCACACAGGGACCAAGGGGACCCTGCTACACCTGGACGGGGGCCAAAGAGACGAGCCGAGGCATAGTGCCGCGGGCCTCCCACGAGGCACTTATGGCTAGGACTGTCTAGGTAGTGAGCTGCCAAGGTGAACCCAGAGTATTAGGCTAGCTCACCACCTAGGAGACTCAGCCGTGGCGAGTCTGCGAATTGCTGTGTGATCTTAGCCGACGCTGTTTAGCGAGGCTTCTAAAATGTGCCGCGTTGGCCGCACTCGTGCGGCAAAGTGAGAAGTCGCGCCCATGACTGGCAACTACTCTTGCACAGGCCCTCCAAGGGGGGGCCGGTAGAAAAAAGAGTGACTAGGTGGGCTGCCGCGGTATGTATTAGGCTGGCTCCGCCCCTGTGTGGCGCATTGACGGCTGCACCATGGGCGCCCATCCCATGTTGATCTGAGATGGTGCCGACTGGCGCCGAAAGAGTTGCAGTGAGCGTGTGTACCTGAAGGACCCACTGCGGCGGACTGTATGTCGGCTCGGCCGACCTTAAATTGGAGACGCGTCGTCTCCTTTGTTAGAGTTTGGCTCGTGTGGTGGCTTGGGCCGTATAGGTGGTGGGCTGCAGGTAAACCAGGATCCGAGAAGTGTGCTAGCCCACCACCTGTGCGTGAAGACTCAGCCGTGGCGAGTCTGCGAATTGAGATATGTGAGCGGCGTTTAGCCGCCTCACTGTTAGCGGGGCTGCTCAGAGTTGCTGAGCCGCACTATGACGGGATAGGCTGGATGCTGCTAGACTTGCGTAGCCTACTACTCAGCTATGCAGGACGGCTCGACCGCCCTTGACTTGGAGCGGCATGGCTCCAACTGTTTAGGTGGTGGGCTGCCGAGGTAAAGAGAAACCATAAGAGGAAATATGGTCAAAAGGAGAGTATTAGGCTAGCCCACCACCTAAGCGGGCGCGCTGCTAGTTGCGCCGATGTCGCTTAGGACGACCTAGCAGGGCGCTGACTGATGCAGCACTCTATGTGGCTCGCTCAGGCACCGAAGGGCGACGGGTTGAGAGTGCGGGCGGCGGCCGAGAGCGCCGAGGGAGGGAGGGAGGGAGGGAGGGAGGGAGGGAGGGGGAGGGAGGGAGGGAGGGAGGGAGGGAGGGAGGGAGGAAGGAGGAGGAGGAGGAGGAGGAGGAGGAGGAGGAGGAGGAGAGGAGGAGGGAGGAGGAGGAGGGAGGAGGGAGGAGGAGGAGGGAGGAGGGAGGCGGAGGAGGAGGTGGCGCAATCCATACATCGCGGGGCTCTGGGCCGAGCCGGGCCGGGCCGGATCTGGGCGGAGCGGCAGGGGCGCCGCGACTGCTCTCTGGGGCGCGGCGTGGGCAAGGGGGGGGAAGGCCAAAGAGGCAGGGCTCGAAGAGAGAGAGAGAGCTGGCCACGCGCAGAAGGGGGTAGGGGGAGGGGGAAGGCTTCTTAGAAGCACCCTGCTTCTTAGAAGGCGCGGGCCTTCTTTGTAGATGTAAGGCCGGCGCTTTCTAAGAAGCAGCCTCCTTCTAAGAAGCCTTCCCCCCTCCCCCTACCCCCTTGTGCGCGCCGCCCAGAGAGAGAGAGAGACATGTAAGTGTGACCCTTCGCCCGAGTGACCTTTGGTGCGGGCCCATCGGGCCCCCACCCGTCGCCGCACGCGGTGCGACAGTAGCGTCTGGTGCGCTCGTGTTTGGCCCCCCCGCGGCCCCCCAAGGTCACTCTTACCCAGGGTTGCTCTTGTGTGTAGCCGCTGCCGCGGCGTTCTCGCTCCCGGGTGGGTCCCTTTCGGGGCGGCTCGGGCACCCACCGCCTGCCAGCGACCTGCCGCGGCAGTTCGCAAGGCCTGGCGGGAGTCGACGGCCAGCGAATGGCGGGCAAGTGAGAAGGAGAAGGCCTTCTCAGAAGGAGGCGGGACTTCTCAGAAGCCCTCGCGCCTTCGGAGAAGTTTTCTGTGTCTTCGGGGAAGGCGTAGAAAGCTTTTCAGAAGAGCCGGGGGACTTCCGAGCCTTCTGAGAAGGCCTTCTCTTGCTCACTTCCCCCCCACTGCTCGCCGCCAAGCTCCAGTCCGTCGGCGTCATGCAAGCACACTTATACCATGAGTACGTCGCCCCCGGCACGCGCGCGCTAGAAGACCCTCTAATGCATGCTTGGCGGCTGGCCTTTTCTGGCCATGCAGCTGTGGTAGCGATATACGATACTACTGGTGTATTATATGATCCAGTCCGACGCACGCCTCCAGGGAGGGCCCATAGTACGTAGCACCCCGCAGTTGCGGATAAGAGTGAGGGGGCGTGCGCGGGGTGGGTCGCGGGTTAGGTCGCGGGCGGGTCGCGGGCGGGTAGAGGGCGGGTCGCGGACGGGTCCCGGACGGGTCGCGGGGTGGGTCGCAGGGTGGGTCGCTGGTGGTTGGCGGGTGGGTCGCGGCTGGGTCACGGCTAGTTCGCGAATGGGACGACGACAGCAACCAGAGCAAACATCAAAAACAACACCAACAATAACAACAACCACACCAGCAACAACACCACCATCACCAACAACACCATCATCATCAACACCAACACCAACAGCAACCGCCACAGCACCACCATCAATTGCAGTAACAACACCAACGACAACAATAACACCAACAACATCAGCAGCAACAACATTGACAACAATAGCAACCGCCACACCGATATTAAACTTGTTCGCTCTTACATGCTGACGTGCCATTCAACACGTGTATCCCAAACCATCGATACCCGCCCTCCTCGTCTTCGATCGTACTTCCTCGGGGGCAGCTCTTTACCTGCAACGTGCAAGTGGTGCAGTCCGTAGAACAAGGGAAGAGAAGACGGATGGAAGGGGGAGGGAGGAGGATGGAGCACGAGAGAGAGAGAGAGATTACCAGGAGAGTGGTGAGGAGTTGAAAACACGTGGCAGAACCAGGCGGGCAGATCGGACGGGTAGACCCTAACAGGCGGGTCGGGAAGGCGGGCCCAGGCGGCCAGGACGCACGCTTCAGCAACCCGCCTGAACTCCCCGAGCGATAGGACGATTCCCAAACAATTCGTGAGGAAACCCATAGCGAGAGCGTGATTCTTGAGAGCGCGATTCTTGATTTGGGATTACATTCTGAGGAAGTATCAAGCAGGAGCCGGTGCTGCTGTAATCCGGGGGCCAACAACACAATTTGGTAGCCTTCACTTTTCCTTGTTTAAAGCAGGGTGTGAGCCCCCGGACAATCATTTCAAACATACAATGATTGCCCGAGGGGCGGGGGCTAACAATAATCAGTTTGCAGAAGTGAGAATTCAACAACAACGACAAAAGCAACAGAAGTGCAACAACAGTCCGCACCGCGGAACCTGGTTTCAGCCACGGCGACGCACCGAGGTAGAGTGAATGACCTTTCGGGCCCATCACTCTGATTAGTGGTGCGTCCCTCTACAGAGGGAATATTCAACAATATGGGTCTCTGGACGATTCCTTTTTTCCACTATTTTCGAGCATGTCTAAAAAACAAATCCTCCAAAACCAGCCTGTAGGAGGACATGCCCGACCTAAGATTTGTGTGCCCTTCTGCCTCCCACTCCATGGCCTCTGACCTGGCGCCGCCGGGCAGGGCGCTGGCGTTCGCGCGGGTTCGCTGCGGCGCCGCGGCACCGCGCCGCGATGCCAGAGCCTCGCCTGGACGCCGATGCGGGGGGCATAGGAGGAGGAGGAGGAGGAGGAGGAGGAGGAGGAGGAGGAGGAGGAGGAGGAGGAGGAGGAGGAGGAGGAGGAGGAGGAGGAGGGAGGAGGAGGAGGAGGAGGAGGAGGAGGAGGAGGAGGAGGAGGAGGAGGAGGAGGAGGAGGAGGAGGAGGAGGAGGAGGAGGAGGAGGAGGAGGAGGAGGAGGAGGAGGAGGGAGGAGGAGGAGGAGGAGGAGGAGGAGGAGGTGGTGGAGGAGGAGGAGGAGGGAGGAGGAGGAGGAGGTGGAGGTGGAGGTGGAGGTGGAGGAGGAGGAGGAGGAGGAGGAGGAGGAGGAGGAGGAGGAGGAGGAGGAGGGGGGGAGGGGGAGGAGGAGGAGGAGGAGGAGGAGGAGGAGGAGAGGAGGAGGAGGAGGAGGAGGAGGCCCATCCAAGCCAGGAGGAGGGGGGAGGAGGCGGAGGAGGAGGAGGAAGAAGAGGGAGGAGGAGAAGGAGGACGAGGAGGAGGAGGAGGAGGAAGGAGGAAGGAGGAGGAGGAGGAGAAGGAGGAGGAGGAGGACGACAACGACGAGTGGAAGAGGGATGGGGTCTTCATCACGGGGACCGTGAGGAAGGAAGAGGTGGAAGCAGAGAAGTCGGAAGAGCAGAGAGAACTAGAACACGACGAGCGGCGGTGGTGGTGGATCATGTTCGGCCTCTCAGGATGACCACGTCGCCCGCGGCCCAGCTGGCGCCTGGGCGCTTTGGCGCGTGCCTGTCCTTGGCCCGTCGTCGACGTGGTTGCCAATCCGCTCCTCTGAGATATTACGGCGTGTTGCACCACCCGCGTCCTCCTCCTCCCCCCCCCCCTCCTCCTCCTCCTCCCTCTCCTCCTCCTCCTCCTCCACTTCCTCCTATTCCTCCTCCTCTTCTTCCTCTCATCATTATCCTTCATCCCTCCTCCCAGCTTGCTCCTTCCTTTTCTTCCCTTTCCCTCGTCCTCCACGTCCTCCTCGTCCTCCTCGTCCTCCTTGTCCTCCTTGTCCTCCTCCTCGTCATCCCCCGTGGCCATTTGGCTCAAGACCTTGTGTCCGCAAGGGCCTCAGCATGTGAGCAACCATGAGCTTGCTGTGCCATGGCCCCGCGCCTGCGTGAGCTGAGCTGGTGATGGAGACGGCGGAGAAACATATGAAGAACTATGCACGCCGCCGTGTTCCAACACATCCATCGAGTGGGAGCACTCCGCTCGCCATCCTTGCTGAGTTCTGCTTGGGTGCCTTGGACGTCTTGGCGACGAGCAAGGCCCCGACGCTACGCCACGCTCAACCAGGCCTTGCTCGACAACAGACGGTTGTTCACGTCCAACATGAGCAACAGTATCAACAAGTTGAGCAATGTCTACAAGTGATGTGCACGGACGACGTGCTCGCTGGCTCCCGCGCCGAGGTCGGATACTTTGTGCCAGCTATGGCGCTAGCCGGCTTGCCACAGTTCCCCGATGGATCGGAGGAGCTGCACGATCGGCTTCGCGCCCTCGATGCTTAAATTTGGTCTGCGCTTCCGTGTCGGACATTTTTGCGTTTTCTTCGCCTACTGACGGCTTGGAGGCCCGCGCTGTTTACCCCGCGGCGCACGACCGAAGATACGCCATCGAGGAGCCTCCGACTCCAACTACTGCCTCAAAGTTGGGAGTGCAGCTCACACTCGAGGATGCCTTCGCTCGTGCGGGCCCCAAGGAGTTATGGATGGACATCTGCCGCAGATGATCCGCGCCAAGGTCCAAGGTGATAGACATACGGAAGGCTACCTAGTAGAGCCGGCCAAAGGCCGATTGGCAGCTTGAAGTGTGTGTATGGGTGGAACCAACGACGGGGCAACCATCAGGACGATCGTCTCCATCCATCTGACAACGTTTATCGATCTATCAATGTATCAACCTCGCTAGCGATGTATCTATCCATCTGCCCTGCTGCTTGCCCATCGATTTTACGATCTGGGTATCAGCCGATATCGACGCCTCTGCGGAGTCGCGTTTCAGCCTCCTCCTCGTTCGGGTGAGGGGCGTTCCGCTCGCGTGCTTGGAGGTTTGAAGGCTACATCTGTCTACCTGCTTCTCTGGAGACACATGTACGAACGGCTATCACCATCGGTTCCTCGATACCACTTTCCATCTATCGATCTCAAGATCTACCTATACGACCGCCCTGCGGGCGATAAGGAGGTTGGGGGGATTGAGATCAAATGCCCACCCTGACTGACCTCCAGCCTGCCACCTGGATCTCATATCTCTCTTTCTCTCTGTCTCTCTCTCTCACTCTCCGTGTCTCTGTCTCTCATTCTCTCTCTCGCCCTCTCTCTCTCTCCCTCTATACCAGAGTCTTCCTCCACCACAATGATGATCGCGATGACGATGATATCCCACTATCTACTATGAGACGCCATGGCAGGCGGACGGAGGGACGCCATGGGGCGGCTTCCGAAAGGCAAGGGCGCCGAACGCTCGAGCCTCGCAGTCTGCCGCGATCGCGCCCAGGCGCCGACAAAAATAAATTCTAGACGCTTCGCGTATCCCCCACCAGTGTACTGCTGGGCCATGGTCTCAGACACCTTGGGGTTATTTGCATCGCGCCATTTTGGCAGCGTAGTTGCAGACTCCCTGGGTGCTGGTCCCTGGGCGTCAGACACCCTTGGTTGCAGCACCCTTGCACCCGCCGCCCCGGCGCCGGCCGCGGCCCGCGCGCGCGTCCGGCCAATTAGTTTCGGCCGCAGCCCGACTGTTACTCGCCGCCGCTGGCGCTCCCGCCCGCGGCTGTAAAAAAAAAAGTATCCCCACCAGCCCGTCCAGAAACGACGCCCAGGAGAGTAGAGGGTCGTCCTGAGGGGCTTTTCGGCGTCTTGGGTGCCTCGGGGGGGCCTCTGTGGGCCGTTCGGGATCCTCTTTGGGGCCTCCTGGGGGCCTCTTGGGGCCTCTTGGGGCCATCTTGGGGCCTTTGGGGGCCTCCTGGGCGCTTCTTGGGGCCATCTTTGCCCCCTCAGGAGGCCAACATGGGGCCAAAATCTCAGTAAAATCAATGATTTTGGCTTCCTCGCCGAGGCCGTTTTGGACGCTCTGACCGCTCGCGGCCCCCCCCGTCCAGGTCCACGGGGAGGGGGTAGGGGGAGGGGTAAACCCCTCCCCGAAGGGAAAGAGGGAGGGGTGGAAGAGGAAACGCCTTAAACCACCGACGCCCAGAGGGCTGGTGGGATTGCCTCGATCAGGGAAGTGGACAGCACACAGAGGAAGCCAGTATGAGACATCTTGGGATTTCTTGAGCCATCTTGGAGGTCATTTTGGGCTCTCCGAGGCGCTCTTGGAGTCATCTTAATCAGTGCCCCCCCCCAAGAGGCCAACATGTGGCTAAAACCTTAGTGCAAACAATGGTTTGACATTATCGCCGAGGCCTCTGGGAGCACCTTGGGTGCCTCTGGGGGGTCTCTTGGGGCCTCTTGGGGGTCTCTTGGGGGCCTCCTGGGGGCCTCTTGGGGGGCCTCTTGGGGCCATCTTGGGGCCATCCTGCGGCCTCTTGGGGCATCCTGGGGGCCTCTTGCGGCCATCGTGGAGGAAATCGATCAAAGAAGAGGGGAGCTTTAATTTGCGCTGCCCCCTCAGAAGGCCAAAATGGGGCCCAAACCATGGTAAAATCAATGATTTTGGCTTCCTCGCCGAGGCCGTTTTGGACGCTCTGACCGCTCGCGGCCCCCCCCGTCCAGGTCAGTGGGGAGGGGGTAGGTGGAGGGGTAAACCCCTCCCCGAAGGGGAAGAGGGAGGGGTGGAAGAGGAAACGCCCTAAACCACCGACGCCCAGAGGGCTGGTGGGATTGAGGCGTCGAGTAAGGGAGCGGTCAGGAAGAATCACATGTTTCTCGGGACAATCATGTGATCTGGCGGATAAAGAGAAGGGGGGCAGGAGTATCATAGTAGGCAGAGACGGATGATGATGATGATGATGATGATGATGATGATGATGATGGTGATGATGAGGATGAGGATGAGGATGATGATGATGATGAGGATGATGATGATGATGGTGATGATGATGATGATGATGATGATGATGACGATGATGATGATGATGAGGATGATGAGGATGATGATTGTGATGATGATGATGATGATGATGATGATGATGATGATGATGATGATGATGAAAATGATGATGATGATTATGATGATGATGTTGATGATGATGATGATGATGATGATGATGATGATGCTGATGATGATGATGATGATGATGATGATGATGATGATGATATGATGATGATGATGATGATGGTGATGTGATGATGATGATGATGATGATGATGATGATGATGATGATGATGATGATGATGATGATGATGATGATGATGATGATGATGATGATGATGATGATGATGATGATGATGGTTGTGGGGGTGGTGGTGGTGGTGATGATGATGATGATGATGATGGAGAGGATGATGATGATGAGGAGGAGGCGGAGGAAAAGGAAGAGGATGAGAAGGCGGACGAGGAGGAGGAGGAGGAGGAGGAGGAGGAGGAGGAGGAGGAGGAGGAGGAGGAGGAGGAGGAGGCGGAGGCGGAGGAGGAGGAAGAGAAGGATGAGCAAGACACATGACGAAAATAAGAGCCTCTTAGGATCTCTTTTCGGAGTAGTCTTGGAAGTCTCTTGAGACGTTTGGGGAGCTTTCCAATGGCCTCAGGGAGACTCTTGAAATTTCTTGGGAGTCTTTTGGGAAGCTGTTTTGGGAGGCTTGGGCTCCTCTTGGACCCGTCTGGCGCCCTTGAAGGCCCTGCTGGGGCGCTCTTGGGGCAATTTTGGAGGACATCGGCCAAGGAAGTGGGGTTCCCTAATTACAGCCCCCCCCCCCAGGAACTCAAAACATCGCTTCCTGGACCCCTCTTGGATCGCTCTTGGAGCGCTCGTGGCCGCTCTTGGAGCCATCCTGAGGCTCTCTTGGGCCCCTCTTGGAGCTATCTTGAGCCATCTTGGAGCCATCTTGACGCGTCGGATGTGCATCGCAAGCGAAAAAGTGAGAACACCAAACACATCGATTTTCCCTAGGGTTTTGAATCATTTTTGGCCTCTTGGATGCATCCTAATGATGCTCTTGTGGGCACTTGGAGCGTCTTGGAACATCATGGGGACCATCTTGAAGCATCTTGCGCTATCTTGAGCCATCTTGGAGGTCATCTTGAGCTCCCTGAGGCCCTCTTGGAGCCGTGTTGGGCCGTCTTGGACGCTGTAACTACCCGCGGCCCCCCCTGTCCAGGTCAGTGGGGAGGGGGTAGGGGGAGGGGTAAGCCCCTCCCCGAAGGGGAAGAAGGAGGGGTAGAAGAGGAAACGCTTTAAACAACCGACGCCCAGAGGGCTGGTGGGATTGATGGATTGGGTTGGTTGCATTGGAATGGATGGGAGAAGATGGATTTGGTAAGATAAGCTGGGTTGGATTGGAAGATTTGGATTTGATAAGATAGGATTGGTTGGATTGGCCCGCCGCCGGCGCAGCAACAAATAATCAATTGATGGATTGTGTTGGATGGATTGGAGTCGGTGGGATAAGATGAGACAAGATGGGTTTGATTTGATTTGATTGGGTTGGATTGGACAATATGGATTTGATAATATAAACTGGATTGGATCAGAAAGCCCGCTGCAGGTGCCGACCAAAGTGAATTGATGGATTGGGTTGGGTGGATTGGATTGGATGGGGCAAACTAGATCGGGTAGATAAAGTGCGTTGGGTTGGAAGCAATAGATTGTGTAAGATATGATGGATTGGATTGGCCCGCCGCAGGCGCAGAAATATATCAATTGATGGATTGTGTTGGATGGATTGGATTGGGTGGAGTAAGGTTGGACAAGATGGGTTGGACTTGATTATATGGATTGGGTTGGACAAGATGGATCGGACAATATAAGCTGGATTTGATAAGAAAGCCCGCTGCAGGCGCTGCCAACAGTGAATTGATAGATTGGGTTGGGTGGACTGGATTGGATGGGATGGATAAGATGGATGGGATAATATAGTTTGCGATGGAGTGGACGAATGGATGGTATAAGATATGATAGATTGGATTGGCCCGCCGAAGGCGCAGAAACAACTCAATTGATGGTGTGGGTTGGGTGGATTGGATTGGGTGGGATAAGATAAGATGGGACAAGATGGTTGGACTTGCTAAGATGGATTGGATTGGACAAGATGGATTGGATAATATCAGCTGGATTAGATTAGAAAGCTTGCCGCAGGCGCCGAACAAAAATGAATTATGAAATCAGCGACATGCGTTAGCGCCGGGACGCCCGGGACACTCGGGACACCCGGGACACCGCCCGGCCCGACTGGGACACTTTCCAGCGACCGGCGGGCGGGAAACGGACTTTCGCTCCTACTGACACCCTGGACACCCAGGAGACCGCCCGGCCCAATTGGCACACTTCCCAGCCACCGGCGGACAGGAACGGATTTTCGCTCCTACTTCGGCCTAGCTACAGGAAGATCACGCGCAGCTTCGCCTCGCCCGCACGCACGACACGAACACGAAACCGAAACCGATTTCCCGGTGGGGGGTCTCCGTTTCACTGCGTTCTCACCCCCAACTTCCGACGTGTCAATGTCCATAACAATGCATACCTTTTGATCGACCAGCATAAATAAATGAACCTACCATCGAAACGGCCATCGGGACAATCACCAGGGCAACCACTGGGACAGTTCTCGTGACAACCTTCGGGGCAACTATCGGGACGACCATCGGGACAACCATCGGGATAACCATCGGGACAACCATCGGGACAACATCTCTCGGTCGACCTATCAATCGATCTTACTCTCGATGTCCCGATGTATTGTTGATATGGCGTTCGATTCCACTGCTTATCTGTCTATCGACTTCGCGACATGTCTAATGGTATCGCCGGTATCGCTACCTACCAGCCTCGTCCACTAGTTGTTTCTGGATCGTATTGCCAATGTCGTTGTGTCGACTATATATCTCCATACATATATATACATGTATATATCAAACGTTGTTTCATTACGCATCCGTCCATCTACTTCCGATATACACCACGACCATCGTACGATATCACAATCTGTCCCTCGGTAGCACTTACCTTTCACTCTGTCAATCAATGCCATGATCTGTCGATCGATCTCCATTACTTGTAGGTCAGTCTCATTATGCATCGACCGATCACGCTACCATTCAGTCTATACACATATATGCCGGCCTACTCTATCTTCCGGCCTCGCTATCAACTTGCCGATCCCAATATCAATCAATCAACCCACCATTTGGACAATCATCGGGACAATCACGGGACAACCACGGGACAACCATCGGGACATCCATGATACAGCCAAGGGACAACCGCGGGATAACCGTGGGATCGCGGCATAACTTTGGACTTCGCCCTGGCAACGGCAGGATCATCCTCTCTCCAGCGCGCGCAGCTTTGTTTTGCCTGGCGCATGGCACAGACACGAAATCGAGGCTGATTCCCCAGTGGGGGGTCTCCTTTTAATTTCGATCTCGACCCCCTACTTCCGACATGGGACGTGTGTGATGCTCTGCAGTGCGCTGACTGATGCCTCGCATTCGCCGCGCACTTGAGCAGGTTCGGTCCGTTTCCCCCGGCTGTCGCCCTTGCCCTTTTCGGCCGCCCTCCTGCTCTCGCTGGCTCCTAGCTGTACGCGTAGTCTTGCCGCCTCCGTCCGCAGCCGTATGGATTCCATATCCAGATCAGCCTGAGTCGTCTGGAACCCTGGAGCCCAACCTCGGCACTGGATTAGGGTCGGGTCGCCCAAATTCTCTGCCGCTCTCACAGTCGAGTGGTCTCCTCGTTGTACTCTTTCCTGCCCGTAGGTGCGCATTCGCGGGTTGTGTGTTATGTCTCTTCTTGCCAGTTTTTCCGTTCCCAGTTTTTGTCATATGTGTTTTGTTATGTGGTTGGTGTTAGTGTTTCAGGCAAGCGATGTGCGTGACATCCGATTTTGGCAATCACGTTGCCCGCGCTCCTCGTCTATGTCGTCCTCCTGGGCTTTGCGTGCACACCTGGCGTCAGAATTTCGGCCACGTTCGCAGGACAGCTTCTTCTGCGTTTGTGGCGAAATTCCTCTTGTTATGCCATGGCTGCGCGGCGCTGTGGTGGTGGTGGTGGTGATACATCGTTTTCCTCCTCGTCCTCCTTGTCCGCATCCTTCCCCCTCATGTTCCTCCTCCTCCTCCGCCTTCGCGGCCCAAAATCCCCAAGGGCCCCCAACAAACATTCCAGAAACTGTTCCCCGTTCTCCTTCTCCTCCTTTCCCTCCCCCCCAGTCCAGTCCTTCCCGCCCCTTCCACCTCCCCCGTTCCCAGTTCACTTCGAAGGGAGGAGGAGGAGGAGGGGAAGGAGGAGGAGGAGGAGGAGGAGGAGGAGGGATGAGGCGGATGATGATGATGCTGCTGATGATGATGATGAAGAAGAAGAAGATGATGATGATGATGATGATGATGATGATGATGATGATGATGATGATGATGATGATGATGATGATGATGATGATGATGCTGCTGATGCTGATGCTGCTGATGATGATGTTGTTTACGATGGTTATGAGGATGATGCTGATGGTGCTGCTGATGATGATGTGATGATGGTGATTATGATGATGATGAGGAGGAGGAGGAGGAAGGGAGGAAGCGGAGGAGAAGGAGGAGGAGGCGGAGGAGAAGGAGGAGAAAGACGAATAATCTGGAGGAGGAGGAGGAGGAAGGAGGAGGAGGAGGAAGGAGGATACGGAGGAGGAGGAGAGGAGGAGGAGGAGGAGGAGGAGGAGGAGGAGGAGGAGAGGAGACGGTTCAGGAGAAGGTGGAGGAGGAGGAGGAGGAGGAGGAGGAGGAGGCGAAGAGGACGAAGGGGGCGGGAGGGCGGGAGAGAGGCTGGGGAAGCAGGGGGAGGCGGAGGAGGAGGAGGACGAGGAGGACGAGGAAGAGGAGGAGGAGGAGGGAGGAGAGGAGGAGGAGGAAGGAGGAGGAGGAGGAGGAGGAGGAGGAAGGAGGAGGATATGGAGGAGGAGGAGGAGAGGAGAAGGAGGGGGCAGGAGGAGGAGAAGGTTGAGGAGGAGGGAGGAGGAGGAGGAGGAGGGGAGGGAGGAGGAGGAGGAGGAGGAGGAGGAGGGCGGAGAGGACGGGAGGGCGGGAGGGAGGCGGAGGGAGGAGGAGGAGGAGGAGGAGGAGGAGGAGGAGGAGGAGGAGGAGGAGGAGGAGGAGGAGGAGGAGGAGGAGGAGGGGAGAGGATGGGGGAGGAGAAAGAAGGAGGCTATGGAGGAGGAGGAGGAGAAGAAGGGGGGGGCGGAGGGGGAGGAGAGGGGGGGAGGAGGATGAGGAGAAGCAAGGGAGGAGGTGTCCCGCCCGAGGGGCGTGGAGGGCCTCCGAGGGGTCTTGAGCGACGCCGAGGTCTTCCTTGGAGTTGGCCGGCCGTATCCAGGCCATCACGCAGCTGACGGCACTGGCGAACGCGCACGTGGAGAGCCAGGAGGGCCCCTCGTCGTCATCGACGGCGTCGTCGTCGTCGTCGCGGTCATTGAGGGCGCTGGCGAACGCGCAAGTGGAAACAAGGAGGGTCCTTTGTCATCGTCGTCTTTGTTGTCGTCTTTGTTGTCGTCTTTGTCGTCGTCGTCGTCTTTGCCGTATTCGTCGTCGTCTTTGTCGTCTTCACGGTCGTCGTCGTCATCGTCGTCGTCGGCGTGGTCTGCTCCTCCCCCACTTCCCCTCGTTTGGAGTCCTCTGGGCCCCCCTGGGCCTCCCATGGGACGTCCCGAATTTCTGGTTGGAGGAGGGCAGCTATGCAGGTCCGCCTCGCTCGTCCCCTCCCCCGCGGGCGGGGGGGGAGCAATCGGCGGAGAAAGGTGGAGATCGTCGTCGGACCGAGGCATGAACGGTGCGGGTGTGCTGCGCTCCGTGGTGCCAAGCTCGATAGAACGGTCAGCAGCAGCAACAAGATGGGAGGAGCGAAGGGAGCCACCCCGCCTCCCAGGCCCCCTCGACGAGGTCCCGAGGGAAAGAGCCGTCCTCCTGGGGCAGTCCAGGTAGCACGGGCCTGGTGCTCCTCGGCGGCGTTGTTTGGCCTCGGCGCGTTTGCGGGCGATGCGCAAACGAGGGTGGATGGGGGGAGGAAGGAGGTGGACCTGGAGGAGGAGTATGAGGAGGAGGAGGAGGAGGAGGAAGAGGGGAAGGAGGGGAGGAGGGAGGAGGAAGGAGGTGGACCTGTGCAACTGTTCGACTCCTTACTAGTACCTCCGCGTGCGTCTAGGGGGGCCGAAGCCTCCAGCGCCTCGAAACGTTCTCGGGGCGGACCTTCTCCTCCACGTAATCATCAGCATCACCATCATCACAATCATGTTCGTCACCACCATCACCATCACCATCACCATCACTGGCATCATCACAGTCACCAGCACCTCCTCCATAATGGTCATTGTAGTCATGATCATCATTCGCATCATCATCAGCATCAGCATCAGCATCAGCCGCATCGTGATTAACACTACCGCCCTCCCGCAATGATCATCCGCACCATCTTCATCATCACCACCATCATCAGCCTCATCACCATCACCACCATGGCGATCACCATCATGTTCACAATCACAATACCTCATCCATGCTGATCATTATCGTCATCAGCATCAGCCGCATCATCAGCATCACCTTCACTTTCCCCAGCAATGATCATCAACACCATCTGCATTGTCACTATCATCGTCATCATCATCACTATCGCCATTACCATCACCATCACCACCATCACTATCATAAGCACAATATCGTCGTCAACATCATCACCATCACCATCATTATCACACTTACCATCACCCTCATCTATATTGGTCACCATTGTCATCATCAGCATCATCTTTATCATCACCAGCAGCATCGTCACTATCACCATCCTCCTCCTCCACATTGGTCATCAGCATCATCTTCATCCTCACCACCATCACCATCGCCATGACCATCATCACCATTATCATCGTCACCACCATCACCATCACCATCATCTTCGCAAACTCAATCACCCCCATCCATTAGAATCATCCTCGTCATCATCATCATGACCATCGTCACCATCATCATCATCATCATCATCATCATCGGCATTATCGTCATCATCATCACCAGTCGCAACATCATTAACATCATCACCTCTCCCAGCTATAATATTCATCATCATCTTCTCCATCATCACCGTCATCATCAGCACCACCATCACCATCATCGCCATTACCATCGTAATCACCATCACCGTCGCTACCATCATCATACTCATCATTATCATCCATAATGACCATAATCATCAGCAGCATCAGTACCATACTCACCAGCATCATCAGCATCATCTGCATTATCATCCTCATCATCATCCCCATCATCATCCTGATCATCAACTTCATCATAGTTATCGTCATCATCATTATTAGCTTTATTGTTATTACCACTCATCCTGTTCCATAAGGGTTATCAGCATCGTCATCAACACCCTTCTCACAATCACCAGCAGCATCATCAGAATCGGTATTGTCATCATCCACGCCATCGTTAGCATCACGTTCAGCACCACGGTCATCATCAAAAGCGCCATCTTCCTCCATACTTTTCACCATGATCAGTATCATCATCATCACCATCATCGTCATCACCAGCAGTCGCACCCTCATTACTACCATCACCGTCCTCCATAATACCATCATCATCGGTACCGGCATCATCATTATCAACACCATCCTCACCTCGTAATCGTCACCATACCCGTTATCGCCGTCATCATTGTCACAATAACCATCAACATAACAATCGTCATCGCCTCCTCCATAATGCCCATCATCCGCATCTCCGCCATCATCCTCGCGACCACCATCATCATTATCGTCACCACCATCACCATCACCATCATCACCATGATCAGCATGGCCACCATCATCGCTACCACCATCACAACCATCGCCACCATCATTATCGCCACCCCCCTCCTCTTGCTCCTCCTTCTTTTCCTCTTCCCCATCCTCTTCCTCCTTGTCTTCCTCCTGATCTTCCTCCTCCTCCTCCTCCATCTCCTCTCGTCATCCCTCCCTTCCTCCTTCCGTAGCCGGTTTGGCAAAAGCCATTCTGACTCAAGGCCAATTTGGTCTCCATTTCACTGCCTCAGCGGGGTAGGCGCCCATCCGACTCGCATCATGCATGCAAGCGCTTCAAAAGCTCCAAATCCAGGTCCGCCCCTGGCACTTCCATATCCAAGACCTGGACTGAGCCACGCGCCCCAGGCACCTCCATATCCATGACCAGGGCAGGTCCTTGCGCCCCTCGGACCTCCATGTCCAAGACCTGGTCCGAGTCTCGGGGCCCGGGCACAGCAAAGCCGAACCCCGAGCTGGCAAAGAACGCGATGTTTCTGGGCTGCGTGCTCTTCTCGGCGCTCCTCAGTACATTTCGGTCTTCCATTAGCGATCGTTTCCTGTGCTACGTTCATCCTGAACAATTTCTGCTTCAAGCTCGGACGGCACCAGGGTCATTGGCTCTCGTGGTGCCCGAAGCGGGGGGGCTTCAGAGGGCGCAGCACGACGCAGCGACATTCGACAGGCTCGACGACGGTAACGACGGGAAGACGCTCGCGATCGCATTCGAGAACACTCAGACCGACGATACCCTCTTCAGCACCGAAACCCCTGGCAGTCGGGCGCCAGTCGATCAGCTGCTGCTGGGCGCCGTGCTGGCCGATCGGGGAGGGGGGCAGGCAGAGACGGAGATAGCGAGCCCTGCCACTCCAACCCGCCGCCAGAGAGTGGACTGCGCCCTCATCTCGATGCAGCAGCAGCCGCCGAGTTGGCACAATAGCTTGCAATAGCCCCAACGTTTCCGTCACAGGAGCTTCGAGCAGGCGCTGCGCCAGCTGCCGCTCATCTGCAGCCAGCTGCTACACCCGCTGGCCACGACTGTGCAGCGCCGCGACCCCACGGCCTCAGCGAGACGTCCCTGGTCCACCTGGGCAGCCTCCACAGTTCCCTCGGCTGCCTCAAGCACCCGCACCACAGGACCTCTCGAGTGCCATCGAGGGAATCGCCAACACTCAGCTCTCAATGGCCACGCAGCAGCTCAGCTAACCGCTTCGGCAATACATGGGCAAACGTCCAACATGATCTTCGCACCACAGTCGAACAGTACGATGCCCCGCATCACACCAGACTTGAACAAGCAGAAAGTGACCGCGGCGGCATCCGCAGACGACAGGACCAACGATCGGCAGAGCAGCAAGACCTTCGGCAACCCGTTCGTAGATAGCAGTATCACTCGCAGGGGCTCAACTACCTACAATCGACTTCGCTAACGTGGCAGATTACGTTCGAGAACCGAACCCCGTGCGCTTCCATATCGGAGAGTCTAGTAACAGACAGCCCGCAGAAGTACGACGCGCCACGGCGCAATGGATTCAACGTGCCCAACTCACAACATAGCAAGTAAAGCTACTCGAAGCTGCCCCTGCACGTCGATTCCACTTATTCGTTCTCGGAGGTCCGGAAGTCGCACGCCCACGGGCGCAGGCCCTGGCCCGTGGGCTCAAACTGGTTGGCGGGCGATAGCGGACCTTCTCGGCGCCCGTCGCCCACGGCGCGGGCGCCCCGCTCGTCGTTCCCAGCGACGCGTCGCCGAAGCTGTTTCGCAAGGAGCTCCAGACCCAGCGTGTCGCAGGCATCCTCGGTGAGCTCTTCCCTGGTATGGACTTCAATGCGCTGCGGCAGTCGGGCATTGTTCAGCAACTGGCGATGCCGATCGCGGGGGTTCGGCCGCAGGGCCTACGGGGGCACTCGAAGCTCGACTGGAAGCCAGCTGCGGTCACCGACATGGGCATCAACAAAGACCTGGTGAAGCAGAAGTTCGAGGCCGCCTATGTCTCGATTGACGCATCCACGCGGCCTATCCAACAGAAGCTGGCCCACCTGGGAGGCCACCAAACACGATGCGCCACTGCGGCTTGTCTTGCGAAGCGCTCGGGGAATATTTTGCCGCAGTCGCGTTTGCCGCCGTCAGAAGTTCCGCGGGCTCGAGGGCGCTCTCAGATCTCGCTCACTAGTTCTCATTGAAGAATTTCATGAGTCGCGAGCTGACCTGGGCACGGTTCTGGCACGCTCGCCGCATTTAATCGCTTCGTTCATTCCGCCGGCCCGTAATGTCGCACCGTGGTCGCCTGTCCGAGTGGTCGTTTGCAGTGTGGAGCTGCGGCGTCGGGAGCTGCGTTTGGGGGCGTTCTCGGGGCCCTCTTGGGCCGTCCTGGAGGCCTCCGGGGCCGTCTTGGAGCCGTCTTGGGCCGTCTTGGGGCCCTCTTGGGGGCCCCTTGGGCCCTCTTGGGGCGATCTTGGAGGCCTCTTGAGCCGTTTAGGGGCGTCGGGGAACCGAAAGGGTTTAAACGTCCAAATCTGTCCAACACCAAAGGAAAAGCCCAGGTTTTTGACTCTTGGGGCCCTCTTGGGAGTTCTCTTGGAG